TCACTCTTGTTGCCTAGGCTGGAGTGCAGTGGTGCAGTGGCACGATCTTGGCTCACTGCAACCTCCGCCTACAGGGTTCAAGTAATTCTCTTGCCTCAGCCTCCTGAGTAGCTGGGACTACAGGTGCACACCACCACTCCTGGCTAGTTTTTGTATTTTTGGTAGAGATGCAGTTTCACTATGTTGGCTAAGCTGGTCTTGAACTCCTGACTTCAAGTGATTTGGCCTCCTAAAGTGTGGAATTACAGGTGTGAGCCACCACATCCGGCCAGTATGTTAACTTTATATCTTCTACTTTACTGAATTATTTTACTGTTTTGAGTCTTACTGTCGATTCTCTAGGGTTTTCCAGGCATTCTGTTATATTTATATGTGTGCAAATAGAGAAAACTTTCTACTTCTACTTTTTCAATTCTTATGCCTCTAATTGTTTTATTTTATTTAACTGCGTCCTTTTTGATCTTAACAGAAATATCTCTGGTGTTTCCACATTAAGTAAGATGTTGGCTTTAGGGCTAAGGTTTATATAATATAATTATTTAAAATTAGCCACATTAAAAAAATTTAGGCCAGGCAAGGTGGCTCATGCCTGTAATCCTAGCACTTTGTGAGGCCGAGGCAGGCAGATTGCTTGAGCTCAGGAGTTCGAGACCAGCCTGGGCAGCACGGTCAAACTCCGTCTCTACTAAAAAATAAAAAAAATTAACCGGGTGTGATGGTGGGCACCTGTAGTCCCAGCTACTTGGGAGGCCGAGGCAGGAGAGTCACTTGAACTCGGGAGGCGGAGGTTCCAGTGAGCCGAGATCGGGCCACTGCACTCCAGCCTGGGTGACAGAGCAAGACACCATCTCAAAAAAAAATAATAATAATTAATGTTAAAAAAAATCCAGCGATTCCTCATCTCTTGAGTGTTTTTCATTAGGAATGGGTGTTGAACTTTGTCAGAGGTTTCCTGGCATCTGTGGAGATAATCATGATGTTTCTTCTTAGACATATTAATATGGTATATTACGTTGTTTGATTTTTAAGTATTGAACTGAACTTGAATTCCTGGAATAAAGCCCACTTGATTGTGGTATGTTGTATTTTTTGGTTTTGGAATAGAAATCCCTGTGCAAGCCCCTGGACTTGGTGTGGTTCCTGTGGTAGGTGGTTGCTAGCAGTCTTCTCTCCTCTCTGGAAATTGGTCTGTCTCTAGCGAGGTTAATTTTGGTAAACCATCTTTCCATAGTAAATTATTCTTTTCAACTAGATTTTCAGATTTGTCTGCATAGATGCTTGCAAGTTATGCTCATCATACTTTTTAATTTCTTTGCAATTATTATTTTTGCCTGTCATTTCTTATTTTGTGTATTTTGCTTTCTCCCTATTTTGCTTAAGCTAGTGGTTTGTGTATTTTGTTAGTTTTTAAAAATCATCTTGATTTATTATTTAGGTTTACTGTTTTTCTTTATCTCCTTTCTTTCTTTTCTTTTTATTTTTTATTTAAGACAGGGTCTTACTCACATTGCCCGGGCTGGAGTGCAGTGGCACAGTCACAGCTCACTGTAGCTTCAGCCTCCCCCGGGCTCAGGTGATCCTCCCACCCAACCTTCTCAAGTAGCTGGAACCACAAGTACGCACCACCACACTCAGCTAATTTTTTCATATTTTTTGTAGAAACTGCATTTCACCAGATTGTCCAGGCTGGTCTCAAACTCCTGGACTCAAGCCATCTGCCTGCCTAGGCCTCCCAAAGTGCTAGGATTACAGGCGTGAACCACCATCCTCAGCCTACTTTGTTAATTTCTGCTTTTATCTTCATTTTCTTTCTGTGTGCTTTCTTTTGTTTTACTTTGTTGGGGTTTTTTTCTAACTTTTTAATTTAGAATTTAGTTCATTTTGGTTTTTCTTCCATTTTTATTGATAAAAGTGTTTAGCACGTGGAATTTTCCTCTGATAGATCATTTTTCCTTTTTTTTTTTTTTT